ATTAAGCTTACATAGCATTCTCCTTTAAATTATATAATAAACATTTATGCATTTAGTCTAATAATATTGTCTCACATTAAACCATCTAAAATCAAGTAAAACATTCGGGCATATCCTCATATTAATCTATAATTTGCACAATGGGATTACAACAATATTTTACAATAAAGGAAAGAAAGAATTTCCTTAAACTATAGAAAATCTGACTAGGCTAGATAGATGGGATCATCCTTGAACATTGACAATTCACCAATAAAATAAGGAAAGATGTCCATGTCTTTTTTAAATTACATTGATACCTCAACGAGCAGAACCTACATTGTTTAGGAAAAGGGAAAATATATGGGTTAGTACATCCACTTGTACTAAGTATGGAAACATATGCACATATAATTTTTGAAATTATGCTTAAAGGAACATTTTGTTCAATGTCATGATAAGTCATATAGAAATACTTAATGCACAAATAAAAACACATACAAACAAATGATCACATTTTATTAAGACAAGTCCATATGCAACACAAGACAAACACCACCAATAAAGTCAAGTAAACATTATTATTATCAACATAACGTCATATCAAAATGAATAGAATTGTATGAAGATCCTATAACCAAAGAAACTCATATATAAGGTTAGAATAACAAAGGAAGTACAAGAGTTCATACTATAAGAACTAATAGGACCCTTACTAACAATCTGTTCCCAAGCACACAAGTGCAATGCTCATGTGAAGTACCATAACCTCACGAAATCAAATAAACAAGGAAATATCTCATAACTTATGCCTAAATTTATATAACATAGCATTATTAGTAGTCATCATCATAGTAGCAATAAATACCAATAAGATGTTCATAAGTAATACTAATATTGTATAGGATTATCAACATGTAAAGTGAAAATATAAGTATAATTTAATTTATAATAGCATAAGAAAAGTCTCCTTTGATTTCCCTTAAGGCCTTTTAGTGAAATGTATTGGTCGATTCCCATACCCCTACCTTTACTAAGAAGAACTTTTTGAGTCACCCTAGTTAGAGTTCACTTTAGTACTTTAATTTTACTTTCAGGAACAATCTCGTTAGGTCACATAAACCATGTGAGCCTAACATCGATTCCGATGTCATCAAACCCTACACTAAAAAAATGATGGTCTACTTTGAAAGGGAGGAGCAAAAGATGAACATAGCATTCTAGGTGGATCCACCAGTTTTTATTCCTATGGAGGCAACATAGTTAAGGAACTAGGATATATGTCTTCAACCCTTCAAATGACCATTACCAATTGGATCCTTCATCTCATGAGAATGTTTGGTGAATCTCTCTTCTATGGGGTGTCAACACCTCTCATTGTCAACATCACTCGTTGCTAAGATAAAGTCTCTTTTTGAAATGCCATTAAGGCCTTCTTAATCAATGATAAATTAATATAGGTCATAGGAGACTAACCCCCTTGTATAGAATATCATTTATCTAATTAGACATACAATGAGAGCTTGTTTTTATCACAAACCATCACTATTGAGTCAACATATCATTATCTTATCATTTAAGGCACAAAAAAACAAATCTTCAAACATGCATTATCACTGCCTCACAATGATTTCACATTCAACATAATCATATCATCCAATGATAGTCATTATATGATATTTTGCTAATTTAATGACATATAGTACTTCAATTTCACAACATCACTAGAAAATATAATCCATAATTATTGAAGTAACAAGTTCAAGATCACCATATCTTACCAAATAGGTAACCATGGTAACCTAAAATCTCACCGCCAATTCATCACAGTTTTCCACTAACTCACTCATCATCACCATAATATAGTTAATTAAGCAATAACTTATTCTAACAATCCTAATCATATTCAAGTTCAACTCATAACTAGGGTTAGTGTAAAAAGTTAGATTCTTAAATTTCATCATAAACTAAGACAAGGATCAAGAACTACAACAATTATCTTATAAACAATAATATTAAATCATTAAAAATAAAAGGAAAAAACCATCAAAATAAATTGAAAGACTTTTCTCAAAATTTGAACGAAACCCATGTTTTTGACATCTTTTGATATAAATTTGAAAGAGACTCTCGGGGAAAGGAGTCCCAAGAATGAAGAGTTTCCATACCTTAACAACACTTGAAGAATGATGGAGATAAATTTGAAATCATGGAGACCTAATAAACTTGAACATTGGTCTTCAATGTTGTGTCTTTGGGAGAGTGAAAGTAGGGAGAAGTTGGAGAGAATTGGAGTTTGTCAATTGTGTAGTGTTAGATTACTGTAATAAGGTTTAAGACTTATATACTAACTGATAAAACTTTGTTAAACATCCCCTAAATTATTAATTAATTAAATAACCAAATAACTAATTACATCACTAACTAAGAACATGGAAGTGAAAAAAGACTCTTACCCAAGAGACGTCGACCTACGTTCCGTAGGTCCATCGACGGCCTGTGCTAGAAAGTCATCACTTGTGATAGAGACCTTGTTTTCTAGAAATTTATTAAAATGGGTATGTGTTTAACAACAAAGCCAGCGATGGATCGTCAAACAAACAACGGCTTGTTGGTTGGCTTGTTCATGGCTATTGTAAAAAACAACTTCTTTGCTCATAAGAAAAGTCTTCTACAAGGACCCTTATGGTGGTCTTTGGGGAGTCGTACATGGAATTTTATACCCTAAACACACTCTTCGATATATCTAATAATTTTTACCATGTATTTTAGATTTTGGCTCCTAAAACCCATTAAAATATATAAAGGCACAGTAGTGCACATTTTACAATTCACTGAGGTCATAAATGTTTATTGACATTTTGACTGTAACACTTCCTAATTAGTTTACAAACATTATTTAATGCCTATAAATAGTGTTACAAGTTCTATTTCATCATGTGAGGCTCTAGATTAGGTAATTAACTGTTAGAGTGTTACATCTCACACTTACTAAGTAAACTCACAAAGAAAACACAATCAGTGCCACTTAATACATATATAAACATGACAATAGATTCAAATACATGCATAATAAGTAAGACTTCATCATATTTACACAATAAGACTAATAAAATGCATTTCATCACAAAAAAAGGCTAACAACAAAATTTCATACATGAGATACATATACACTCCCTCTTAGAACACCCTTCAAGACGTACATGTGCAATGCATAGGCAAAGTCATAAACCCGGACCTACACTAAGAAATATCCTTTAGGTTGTCATAGTTAGGGTTCACCATCCTACTTACATTGTTCATTTTACATTTGGGAAAACATCGCCTTAACCGACATCAAGACCATGTAAGATAAACATGGATTTATGTGTCATCCTCTCAAACCAAAACGAGAGTATCCTACTAGATAAGGTTGGACATAAACATGAAATTATCAATACTGTAGATGAAATTGCTAATGATCCTATGGGGCATATAGTATTAGAACTAGGATGTTGATATCAGAACCCTTCTGGTGCTAAATATCATTTTCGTTCTAAATCATGAGAGACAATAGTTTGAACCTCCTTTCTTTCGTGAAGGAACACCTCAAATTTTTATGTTGACTCCTTTCTAAGCTAATTTCCCTTTTTGAAAAATCTTTTAAGTACTTAATAATCATTGCCTTAAAAGATAGACTTTAGGAGATTAACTCCTTGTATACAAATTTATCGTCCATAGGTTAATGATGAGAATGTCCTTTCATCAAAATCAGCATCATGTGATAATGTCCTTTCACGTAATCAAAACATAGTCTAGTTTAGAACAATTAAGGAAAACCATCCAAAAGACTCATAATCACTTAATCATCATTAACATACTTAATTCAAAATTCATGTGTGTGTATGTGTATATATTTGAGAAAACCATTCACATAAATACATTTAGGCAAAACATATTCATACTTCATTAGTAATATACTTTAAAGAATAACATAATAATAAGATATAGAATAGGATAACTTCTAATACCTGATGGATATCTCAGACATCGTGTTCATAACTTAAATCATACATTCATAACTTATGAATATAGAGAATCACCATAGGAATCCCCTAAACGTACAAACGTGAAATGTATAAGTAAAGCCCCATACCATTAATTACACTTGTACACCTCTCAAGTAATCCAACTTAACATGCATTTTTACACTTCCATTCATTCATTTAACATCATGAAAATTTTAAACTTATAGGTATGAATTATATGTGTATGTGTACATTGGTAAACATGGTCACATAATAGGAACCTCATGTTTTTGAGGAAACCATCCTCCCAATAGCACAATAACTATGTACTACTCTAACACTTCGGAAGCATAAGAACCAATCTAGATCTTCACATGTTGAAATAAGACTAGAATAATGGTTTAAGAACTAAAATAATTTATATGAATCATATATGAAGTTTTAGATTCAAAACATTAATAAACGTCCATGACGTCTGGTGAATTGAGGTACGTATGCCTTGGCATGTTTTATGATATTGTAATATTGGAAATTAATTGAAATTTTCTATAAAGGTTATAAACATGTGTTAGAGTGTTCTTAGGGTCAGAACAGTCGGGTATGACTCGCAAGAACCACGCTAAGCGTCCTTTGAGAGTACTCTTCAATTTTGCCAAAAGTTATTATTTTGATAGTATATATTTATAAAGACAATCTATGAGCATTCGTCTTGTCGATGATGCATTGATGTCTCCATGATCCAACACATAGAAAAATCTCCAAAAACCATCCTAAAACCAAGTCTCTGAACTTATCGAGGTTGTGCTGCATGGGGGGTTGACTGATCTACGGACCGTAGGTAAGGGTCTGGTTAGTCAGGATTGGTTTTGGATAGTCAAATATTAATGAGTCATTTATATAGTTAGTTTATTAGGTGGTTAATTGAGTGTTAGGGGTGCTTAATTAAGTTAATAAAGGGTCTATATAAATACCTAACAATCATTAAACTAACGTAACTCATTTCAATTCCCAAAATTAAAATCCTATTCCTTCTCTCTACTTTCTCTCTCTATTCCCCAAGACTCTATTGAAGATCAATTAAATGTCAAAACGGCTCCAAGATTAAAATTTATCACCATCAATCTTCATTAATAGCTATGGTATGGAATTTCTTCACCTTTGGCACTCATTTCCCCAAAGGGTTATGCAAATTTAATTTTCAAAAGTTTAGAAAAGCATGGGTTTAAATCTTCATCTGTAATTGATCTTTCAAATTGTATTTTTATTTTTTTATTTTGATTCATATTAATACTATATTATTTATTATTGCTAAATTAGGGTAGTTCTTCATGTTAGGCCTAGTTCTACAGAAGAGATCATGAATTTACCCTATATTTTTAATCCTAGGTTATAAATTGATAATTAACTGAATATTGATGATGTGATTGATTCAATTCTTGTGTTTATTACTATTATATGATTTTATTAAGTCTATTAATGTATGAATATGGTTGGTTGTTGGTAACACCATGTAGAAGGCTTGTGAAGGTAAATTGGTAAGATTTATGATCTTGAATCCCTATTTAAATTGTGATGGATTATATATGATGATGATGTTCAATGGAATTATTAATAGTGATCATATTACATAGGTGATTGTATGATTAAATTAATAAAAATATCGTGATTATTTTGATTTTAGAGTATGATTAAGGAATGATGATATAAGGTTTATTTTAAATGACGCATTTGCCTTACTATGACATGATGATCATAATCTGTTAATCTCACAAATGAGTGTTATATTGAAAGGAAGTTCTCATGCAATTTCAAATGAGATAATGATTATAAATACACAAGGGGTTAGTCTCTTATGACCTATGCTAAACCATGATGATTAATAAAGTCTTAAATACATTTCTAAAAAGGACATAAGCTTACCACCATGTGAACTAGTTATAAGAGGTGTCCCTTCCGAATGTGGGAAATTAGGTTGACAATGCTTTTTCATGATATAGATATTACAATGCAATCATGCATAAAGAGGGTCTCATGTATGTCTCCTAGTTCATGAACTATGTTCTCTCCATAGGAAAACTAGCTATTGAAGCTAACTAGAATTGTATGTTAATGTTTTGTTTCTACCTTGAAAATTAGATAAACTTCTTTCGATGTAAGGTATCATGACACCGTATTCCAAATTTCTTATGAGCTCTATGTCGATTAAACTATTTGTTCTCGAATGTAAATGACTTAAGGGTTCTTCTTAGTATAGGTAGGGTATGAGACTCTACTTATATATTGCACTAGTTGACTTAAAGGGAAATCATAGGAAGATGTTCTTATTTTACATGTCTCTGATGATATGCAACTATTGACTTTACATTTTGATGACATGTATAGTTTTAATGTCACTTATGCACATGGTACCGGTCTATATTTCTAAATAATGATAATAACTACTCATGATGCTATGTTATTCGAAGTTAGATATTGCTTGTCATTCTTTGTTGTGTTTACTTGTCTGTGATGTTATGCGAATTAACTGGATTATTTCTCTTGTAATCTTTGTCATAGGTTATGAGTAATGGTCTTGCATATGTTGTAATTTTATGAACTATTATACATGCTTTCTTGTTCTATATGTTCATGTTGTTTTAGATTAAGTGCTTTAATATGCTACTACAACTGTTGACTTAACTTTACTTGATGATGTTGGTATTGTATTGTATATGGTCTTGTCTTGATCAATATGTGTTCATTGGCTCATATGTGTTCTTTAATATTCATAAATGATTTTCAAAGTAAATTTGCATGCTTTTGAACAAATATCCCTTTAGGCGTGACTTCAATATTTTTTGCGCATATGTTTCCATACTTACTACAAGTGGTGTTCTAACCCATATCTCTATGTTATATACAAATATGTATGTTCTAGCCATGGAGTTCCTAGGAGGCCGATTGAAGAAGACTTGGACTATTTTCTCCATGTATTGGTAGGTCTTCATGTTTGAGGATGTTACATTCCGTATGCTCTAGCATGGAAATTGCATTGGCATAAAGACATTTTTTACTCCTTTATCTTTTGAATATTGATGTAAGACTATAATGACGTATTTACTTTGTATTGTCCAAGTAAAACATTAGTACTCACCGTAGATGCTTCAATATGAGACGAAATGTAAGACTAATTCCTATGTATCTTATGTTGTCTAAATGGGAATCCTATGTATGCTTCATATGAAAAGAGTATAAGTAAACTTAACTTGTAGTATGCGAGAGGTCTATATCAACCTCACTATATAGATATATGTATGAAAATTTTAATGTTTCGCACTTTTTAACCTACGAAATGTAATGAAAATTGTAAGAGTCTAGTCTATGTCCTATTCGAGGACTCTTCTGCCTTTTACATGTAGGTGGTGATCTTCGGTCGTTAAACTTGGACCAGAGCATGATTTTTAAAAAATCTTAGGATCGATGTCTCATTGCACCACGTTTAAGTAATCCTTTTTCATGGTAGTAAAGTGTGTCACACTTATAAATAAGAGATTGTGTGACGCTTAGGAATTCTGACTAATTGGTAATTTTAAAAGTTGTGCCTTGAGAGTATATACTTTATGTGTCCTCTTTAATATAATCCTTTTCTTGTTGATATAGGACATACTACAAGAGGTGTAGCCTCAAGGAGAGTGGAAGAAGATTTGGCTAATGCGGTGGTAGTTCGTCCTCAACGAGACAAAGACCCTCCATAAGGAAACCAACTTCCTCCTCAAGAACAAGCTCCAGTCAGTCTTCCATCTATGATATGTGGAGATATAAGGTCTACATTTTTGAATTTTCATCATGTTATTATCACCCAATGACAAAAGGTAGCCACTCAAGCTCAAGTCATGGTGTCTCAAGCAAATAGAGAGGTCTGACATCGTTTTCAACAAAATGCTAGTACGACGACTTCCTATTTGAGAGACTTCACTTTGATGAACCTTCCTATGTCGTTTGCGTCTAATGTGAATGAAACTCCTAAAGATTTCATTGATGAGGTCTGCAAGGTTTCCAATGCTATGGGCTTAACTTTGAATTAGAAGGCCGATCTATCTTCCCATCAACTCAAGGATGTAGCATAAACATGGTACACCAATTTTAGAGACTAAAGGTCCTTGAGAACGAGTCATATTAGTTGGGAGGTTATTAGCTGCTTTTTTTATTGTTTATTTTATAGGTAAAAAAGGGAGGCCAAAGAGTTGGAATTCATCAACATTCGCCAATGAGGTATGAGTGTGCAACAGTACTCCTCAAAATTCACCAAAATGTCCATGTTTGATCCTTCCTTGGTGTCTAAACCAAGAAATATGATTATTCACTTTGTTATGGGAGTTTTTTAGGATTTTTTTTAAGAGTCTCATACGGAGATGCTGAATTAAAAGATGGATATTTCTAGGTTAATGGTTCATGCTCAACAAGTTAAGGGGACTCGACTCAAGAGGAAAAATAGGGAGTTTAAGAGGGCCGAAGGATTATGAAGGGGGTACTTTCAAGGGTAAGCTTTTGATTCAAGACAAGCCTAGGATCATAAAATGTTTTGCAACCAAGTTCCTTAAAACATTCCAAAGATGATTAAGGATATGGTGTCTAGCCCTAATTCCCAAAGTTTAGAAGTGGAAATTCAACAAATGATAAACTACCTTGTTCCAAGTGTGGTAAGAAGCATTGGGGTGAGTGCCTAGTTGGGAAACGAAATAGCTTTTGTTGTGGAAAAGAGGTTTATAATTGTAAGGATTGCCCTAATGTGAGGATTCAATAGTAGAGGAGTGGTCAATCTCATCCTAGTTCTGAAGCTCCAAAGAGAAACTACTTTTATGCTCTCCTCTCTAGGGTTGAACAAGAAGAATCCCCCATGTGGTCACCGATATGTTACAAATCATCTCTATAAATGTTTGTGATTTACTTAATCCCGGTGCTACATTTTCATGTGTAACTTCCCTAGTAGATATAAGTTTTTATGTTCTACCAGATATTTTATTTGAACCATATTTTGTTACAACCCTAGTCGGTATCTCCATTTTGTCTAAACAAGTATTTATGAATTATCCCATATATATTCCCAATATAGTAACATGTGTGGATTTTATAGAACTTGAAATGGTCAATTTAATGTAATATTAGAAATGGATTAGTTTCATGCTTGTTTTGCTTTAATAAATTGTGGAACAAGATTGGTTAAGTTCAACTTTCCAAATGAACAAGTCTGACAATGGAAAGGGGGTAACCCAATTTCGGGAGGTCGTATGATTTCATGTCTAAAAGATTTTAAAATGACATATAAGTGGTGTCTTTACCATATTGTAAGATTCTAAGATCATGAATCCCACATCCCGCCTATTTAGTTGGTCCAATAGTGATGGACTTTTAAAGGTCCTTCACAATGACTTATTCGAATTTCCTCTCGAACGGGAAATTTATTTTTGTGTTGACTTATAACAAGATATAAATCCCAATTCAATACCTCATTACCAAATGGCTCTGGCTTAATTAAAAGAGTTAAAGATTCAACTCAAAGACTTGTTAGAAAAGGTTTCAATTAACCTTGTATTTCACCGTGGGGATAATTGGTGTTTTTGTTATGAAGAATTATGTTTCCCTTGGGAAAATAAAGTCACCACTAAGAACAGGTATCCTCTCCCTCGGCTTAAAAACTTGTTTGATCAACTCCAAGGGGCTAGCTACTTTTGTAAGATTGACTTGAGGTCGTCGTATCACCAACTTAGGGTGATAGGTGAGAATGTACCTAAAGCGTCATTTTGAACTAGGTATGAGAACTTTGAGTTCTTTCTGATGTCTTTTGGTCTCAAAAATTCCCAGTGGCTTTTGTCGACCTAATGAATACGGTGTTTCGAAATTACTTAGATTCCACTGTGATTGTTTTCGTTGAATTGATCATGTGTATTCCAAAAATGAGTGTGATTATATGCTTCATTTGAGAGTGTTATTATAAGACCAAAAGAACCACAACTGCAAGTTTGAGTTTTTGTTGAGATCGGTGGCGTTTCTTGGTCATATCGTCTCATGTGAGGGTATGGAGGTTGATTCAAAGAAAACCGAGGTGGTTAAGCATTGGCCTTGACCATTTACTCCAACTAATATTACGAATTTCATTTGTTTAGACGGGTACTATAAAAGGTTCAAGGATGGATTTGCGTCCATTGCCTCTCCTTTGACTACCTCGACCCAAAAGAGTGAAATTTGAGTTGTTGTAGGCAAATGAAAGAAGCTTCCAAATTTTGAAAGACAGGGTACCTCTGCTCTGGTGTTGACTTTACTAGAGGGTACAAAGGGGTTTGTGGTATATTGTGATGCATCCCGAGTGGGTTTGGGGTGTGTTTTTATGCAACATGTGAAGAGTAGTCTATTCCTCGAGAAAACTCAAGGTGCATGAGAATAATTATAAAACTCATGATCTTAATTTGGCGGCCGTAGTGTTTTCATTTAAAATATTGAGGCATTAATTGTATGGTGTTCATGTGGATGTATATACTGACAATAAGATTCTTCAATATTTGTTTACCCAAATGGAGTTTAATATCTGTCAAAGAATATGGTTGGAATTTTGAAAGATTGTGACATGAGTGTTCTCTAACACCCCGTCAAGGCCAATGTGGTTGTGGATGCTTTGAGTGATATGACCTTGGATAGTGTGTCTCATGTAGAAGAAGGGAATAAAGACCTAGTGAAAGATGTTCTTAGGTTGGATAGATTGGATTCTGTTGGATTATTTACTCAAATATTAGATCTGTTGTTCATAACAACTCTGAGTCATCCTTAGTGGTTGAGGTGTAGTCTAAACAATATCTTGATCTGCTATTGATGGAATTGAAGAAATCCGTACTTAGTAGGTTCAATGAGTCATTCCCCCAAGAGGGTATTGTACCATCCCGAAACCACACCCTAGAAGTTAGGCTAATCTCGGATTGCAACAAGCGTACTTGACCTCTTGGAAGTCTTATACAAGCCCTTACATATCATTCATCGCATAAATATAGTGAAAAGTAGTGCAGATTAAAACTTTTCACAAAACATATCATATTCTTTAAAAACTCTTTCATGTAAAGTCATAAGAAATACAAAGTCTCAATCTCATCAAATTTAAGACACAAGAATACTTTTGGGACACGACCCATATACAATACTAAAAGGGAAATACTTAGTCTATTACAATACTTCTAATAGAAAACATAAAATACATCTATGCCCTCATATCAAATGAGGAAATACTTCTACTTCTCTTGAACGATGCTACGGTCCAAGTCTTCCATCCCAAATGCTTCTCACCTACCAACAAAAATATAGATAGATAAAAGCATGTAGTTAGTACAACAAAATTTATTAAGTATTGCATACTAAATGAAAATCATGAAAACAGACATTTTGTAAAAGTATGCATCTTTTAATTTAAAAATCATCTTATATACATGAAGACAACATTATCAACTTCGAAACACATAAGATATCATTTAAACAAAATATCATAATGTTAGAGTCACTTATCAATAATAACATTTCACTTTATAGAGATGTTCTTCACTATTACAATTAAGTACTTTCTTTTACATTTTAGCGACTCTTAGCATGTAGTCTCCTCGCTAAAAACTATCCTAAGACAATCTGAAGCAAAACAAAGAGAGACCGCCCATAAAACCACCCTAACCATACCTAAATGACCCTAAAAATAGTTATAATTAGTACCATACAAATTTACCAGAAATCAAAGTATCAACATATAGATAATATAACATTTTATTAGAAAAGGAAATAGAAAGACAAACTTAAGTAGATAAAAAAGATAACATCCATGATTGACCTCATCAACACTACCTAAATAATCCTTAAGACATCCTAGCTTTGGTTCATTCCCACATAATCAACATGTTCCCTAACTAAAGTCATTTTTAAGACTCATCTATGTAAGATACGAAGTAACCATTCCTATGCCCTCTTCACACCTTAACTAGACAATCCATAACTATTCTAGATAAGTACTTATTTCATTTACATACATCATAACCTAAGTCATTAATTCATTAGTTAAGTGAGACTCATACATCACATAAAGGACATTCAAGCAGTCGTATTGAACAAGACTTAGGAACTCCCAATAACACCTTCAAAGACTACTGTGCAATGTCTAAATAGAGTCCCATACCACCACCGAAACTTCATAGAACTTTTTAAATGCTAATAGGTATTCCATATGATAATAATAGGAAATAACCAACATATACCATGATAGATTGTCATCGAATTCAGAGTTCTAACCTACTCCGATGAGGGTGTCCTACTTTCCAAGGGTAGGACTAGGAGACATCTCATGTAGGAGAATAGTTAAGGAATATTACGGGCTTTTATGCACTCTAGTCTCATTCTAAAGTAGAGGAACATTGTACTCTAGTCTCATTCTTATGTTGAGCTACTTCCCTTAACATTATCACTCAGTTCTAGCCTTGGTTCTCATAGAGTAATTGACATTAAAGAACCATATGAAGAAATTCCTTGTCTAGTTCATAATCCAATCACATTCACCCTACCAAAGAGGTCCACTAGGGATACCTTTAAATGGAAACTAAGATAGCTCATTATGACTTCTGTAAGGATTAATATTATGCCATTCAATCCAATTAACCTTATGTTCAGCATTCCTCTACATGATGTATACCATTACGGCTCTCGACTTCAACATTAATGACAACACTTTTCAACGTGTACGACCTACTTAACAACCTCTAAGGTATCACATATATTTCATTAGTACATGACAAGGGTGCACTAATCCTGCCAAGTTAAAATATATAATAATATCATAACATTCATATATATATCAAGTAAGAGATAAAAGTCTACCAAACAATACATAACATTCTTTAACCATATCACATATAAAATATGATTCTTTAAAGCACTTTCGATGACCCTTATCATAATTATGTTACCCTATACATTACTAAAACATCATCAATATAATCTTTATAGACTTATATTGTCATGTAGGAATAATCATGCATCAACTCTAAGACTACACGTATAAGCACATAGTCATAGTCTAACATGATCTCCTAATACATCAAACTTTCACATTACTATAATATAGTTATATATAATCATACATAACATAATAAACTACACAAATAGCAACATTACTTCAAGTTGTTTGTCGACAAGGCCATTATCATCATAATACATAAAGTAACAACGACAAGGCCACATCAATTGCAAGTAAAGCACATCAGACCGCCACCACAAGTGGACCATACCAATCACAATATAATTCAAGTTTAATAATCAAAAGAATAAAGGAAATAGGGAATCTTATAACCACAACATCCTCAACACCTCAATTTGATGCTAAATAATCCAATTCAATACCATAAGGCCTTTACCAATGGCCATGAACAATAATCCAATAAAATTAAAACCATAAACCATGAAAATAGGTCAATTAACTACACATTCATCAATCTATTACAAAAGAGACATAAATTTAACACAATTCTTACATCATTTGATAACTCATAGGAATCTACACTAGAATTTATATGCATTAAGTCAATATCAAGTAACCCATAAATTAGTCAAAATCTAGGGTTCATCCAACTCATGGGTTTATAGGTAATTTAGGTTAATATCATCAAGAAAATATCAATTAAATAATTATCCAATGTTTATAAATCATTAATGCAAGAACCTATGGTAGATTCATGAAATTTAGACAATTCAAATTTTAAACATTAAAAAACTTCTTGAAAGCTACGTTCCTTGATAAAAAGAGTTTCAGAGATCAAAATACATACCTTCACGAAGCTAATTCTTCTCTCTGATAAAGAATCTCCACTCAATTTTTTACACAAAGCTCTTCCTTGACCTTGGATTTTAATAGAGTCTTAGGGAATTTCTAAGGGATTTTGGGGTTTTGATTTGGAAGAATTATATATTTTAAGCGTTAAACACTTACATGAACAATTAAAATACCCAAAATACCTTTAATGAACTGCAAATACTTTTATTTGGAAGTGTGTATAAATTACACTGTCACCCCTCACTTAATAGTGAACCTGCACAGGAACTCATGCTCACAGACGGTTTTC